AAGCTAACATTTCGAGTCTAGATGACTCTTCACCAGAGCTGAAGTAAAGTGTGGAGGGGACAGCATTTATGCTATAGTTTAGAGGTGAGGGATGGGGTTAGTGGGTGTAGGGTGCTGATGGAGAAAAAGACGTTGATAGTTCAGATTAAGTGATTGGAATGCGAGAATGGCGGAACAATGGAGTGTCTCCTGCCAGACTTGAAGGACAGTAAGTGGAATGGGAGGACGGGAGGACATGATAACAAGCTAAAGAAAAGGGAAGAAATGGGAGTTGGTTCTAATTTGAAGGTGTTGAATTTAGTATTAAGTCCAGAAAGCTGTAAAGTGCCTAGTCTGAAGATGAGAAGTTGTTCCTCCAGTTTGCACCGTGATTCGCTGGAACACTGCAACATGCCGAGGACAGGCATGTGGGCATGCGAGCAGGATGCTGTGTTAAAATGACCTGCCAAGGGAAGGTTGGGGTCATGCTTGTACACAGACCGGAGATGTTCCACAAAGCGATCACCCAGTATGCATTTAGTTTCTCCAACATACAGTTGGCCACATTGGATGCAGCAGATACAATACACAAGATTGGAGGAGGTACAAGTGAAATTCTGCTTCACCTGGAAAGGCTGTTTAGGCCTGTTGCCTAAAAACAACACGTCATTTTCTGCTTGGGGGCCCTGCAGCCCTCTGGACTCAATATCGAGTTTAATAATTTTAGGGCCTAAACTCTCCCACGTCCTTGCCCCCAATCCCATTCACCAGGCCTTGTTATCACATATCCTGCCATTTCACACTACCTATTGTTAGTCACTAACAGTCCCCATTAACAACTATTCACCCCTTAGCCAGATTGTGATCTACTCCTTTGTCTATCCAACTGCTCTCCTCTCTCTTCGTACTCTATTCTTTATCCTATCGTTTATTCCTACCCCATCCCCTTATTTTCTGCATATAAACTGACGTTTTCCCAGCAGTTCAGAGGAAGGGTCACCGGATCCAAAACTTTAACTCTGATTTTTTTCTTCACAGATGCTGCCAGACCTGCCCTTGGTGGTTGGGGACTGGACTTGGGTGTCCCAGAGGGAACAATCCCTGCAAAATGCAGACGGGGGAGTGAGGGGAAGATGTATTTTGGTAGTGGTGTTCTGCTGGAGTTGTTTGAAATGGTGGAGAATGATCCTTTGAATGCGGAGGCCAGTGGGATGAAAAGTGAGGACAAGGGGAACCCGATCACGCTGTTGTGAGTGATGGGAAGGGGCAAGGGCGGAGGCATGATAGGGTGGATGCGTTGGGGACCCTGTCAACCACAGGAGGTGGGAAACCACAGTCATAGAAGAAGCAAGCCATGTCAGCAGCACTGTTTTGGAAGGTGGCATCATCTAAACAGATGCAATGTAGGCGAAGGAACTGGGAGAATAGGATGGAGTCCTTGCAGGACATGGGGTGTTACAAGCTGTAGTGAAGGTAGCGATGGGAGTCAGCGGCTTTGTAGTGTATGGCAGTGGACAGTTTATTCCCCGAAATGGAGACAGAGAGGTCAAGGAAAGGAAAGGAAGTGTCGGAAATGGATGGTGGGAAAGTTATACAGGGGTGAAAATTGGAGGCAAAATGAATAAAACTTTCAAGGTCCAGGCAGGAGCATGAAGTGGCACCGAAGCAGTCATCAATGTACTGAGTAAAGAGTTGTGGGAGGGTGCCAGCATAGGGCTGAAACAAGGATTGTTCCACACGCCCCAGAAAGATGAAAGCATAACTGGGAGCCACGTGGGTGCCCATAACCACTCCTTTGACTTGGCAGAAGTGAGATGAATTAAAGGAGAAATTGTTCAGCGAGAAAGCAAGTTCAGCCAAGCAAAGGAGAGTGGTGATGGATAGGGATTGTTCAGGCCTCTGGTCGAGGAAGAAGCCAAGAGCTCTCAGACCATCCTGGCAGGAAATGGAGATACAGAGGGACTGGGCATCCATGGTGAACAGGAGGCAGTTAGGGCCAGGGAACTGGAAATTGTCAAGATGCGAAGGGCATCAGAGTAATTGTGGATATAGGCTGGCAGGGTCTGGACAAGTGGAGACAAGGTGGAATCAAGGTAGGAGGAAATGAGTTCGGTGGGGCAGGAACAGGCCGATACGAGGGGCCTACTGGGGCAGTCTGGTTTGTGGATTTTGGGAAGGAGGTGCAAGCCGGCTGTCGGGGGTTGGCATACTACTAAGTTGGAGGCAGTGGGGGTAGTATCTCCACGGATAATGAGGTCAGTGACAGTCCTGGCAACAATGGACTGATGCTCGGATGTGGAGTCATGGTGGGATGATGAGTATTGTTGCTGTTGAAATGGTGCCCCTTGTTCAGAATTTATCTTGTTGCCTCCCAAATGGAGATACGATGCAAAGTCCATTCGACTCATATGGACTTTGCCTGGGTTTGTGTTGGACGTCACTGGATTGAAGAATACTGTTATTATCCATTTGCCAGGAATGGAGGGTTTGTGTCATAAGGACAGACTGGATTGGCTGAGACCTTTTTCCACTGGAGTGTAGGAGGTTGAGGTGTGACCTTTGAGGTTTATAAAATCATTAAGGGCATACAAATTCCAAGACGAGGCGGAATATTTTTCAGGTGAGAAGAGAAAGATTTTAAAAAAAGCATGAGGGGCAATTTACACAGAGAATGGCTCGTGCGTGGAATGAACTTCCAGAAGAAGTGGTGGATGCAGGTGCAGTTACAACATTTAACAGATGTTGAGATAAGTAGATGAATAAGAAATGTTTAGAGGGATGTGGGTCAAGCACAGGCAGATTGACTAGTTTAGTTTGGGATTATGGGTGGCATGGATTGGTTGGACTGAAGGGTCTGTTTCCATGCTGTATGACTCTGTGACTCTCTGACTGAATTCTGTGAGCAAGGATATGGGTCAATAGTTAGTCCTTGCTCTTCAAGTGTGCTTGTGTGAATATAATTGTCTTTCAAGCGTTTAGAAGAAATTGCAATTTCAATATTTAAGACGAATTTTAGCAGAAGATGAAGCCATCCACAGAATGCGCTGCAGTCGCTTATTGTAGAACTATCTACCTTAGAGATTTTCCCATATAATCTCTTTAATGCCACTTGGATGTGTCTGTAAAATTGATTCAAATTATACACAGAGAATATTCTGCTGGGAAGAAGGATGCAGTCTTTCATTATTTATTGTTTGGTTCCCATTTGCAAGATTTTCACTTATTCTGCCATGGATGGAGGATTACGGAGTTTTTATTCAGAAGAATTCATATGGATGCAGTGCAGACCACACAAAATTTGCACCACTCTGAAATAGTCACATTGATTATTAAAGGGTAGACATTGACTTTTGGGTGTCAGATATGTTTTATTTCCCCGTGCAAGACATTTATTTCATGCTGAGTGGGATTTAAGTGCAGAGCTGTTATGTGTGGTAAAATGCAAATATTTTTGTATTTTTAAACTCAAGATTATCACAATCTAGTGGCAATTCTCGTTAAGAAGATGACTGAAACAGGATTTTCGATTATATTTGAATGCTCATGAATGAACAGAAGATGATCAAAAGCATGCCATTGTTTAAGAGATTTGGTGCTCAGTTGTAGTTCACAAAAATGGGTTTAAATGCAGAGCTCTTTTCAATCTTGCAAAGATCCAAACAGTTTTGCTTAAAATTGTGCACAAAGTTAACGTATTTTGCACAATACAATACAGCACAGGAACAGGCCCTTCAGCCCACCAAACCTGTGCTGATTCCTAACTCTTATTTGGACCCAATACTTATTGCCCATACGTGGTTTCTATCCCTCTGTTCGCCTCCTGTTCATGAGTCTATCGTGATATGCCGAAAACTTTGCTAATGTGCCTGCTTCCACCACCTCCACTGGCACTGTGTTCCAGGCACCCATCACTTTCTGTGTAAAATATTTTCCATGCACTTCTCCCCTAAACATGCCCCCTCTCACCATGAACCTGTGCCCTCTTGTAGTTGATCTTTCCACCCTGGGAAAAAGCCTCTGACTATCCACCCTATCCATGCCTCTCATAATTTTATAGATCTCTAACAAGTTGCCCATCAGCC